GGTCTTTTGGTGGGGTGGTTGGATCACGGTGGAAGTGGATTCATCCTCTGGTAAGTTTAGGCTGGGTGAGCTGTTAAAAAGCCCAGTCTGGTTGGAGGCGGTCATGGGAGAGTGGCCTGGAAGGGACTGCCTTCCCTGGCTGCTCCTTTTATCTCTGGTTCCTAATTGCCATGATGTGAGCAGTTTTCCTCCGCTGGGGCCCTTCCACCTTGCCCTTCCTGTATAGGAGCTGGCCAACTATGGATTGAAACCTCTACAAACCGTGATCCTGAATAAACCTCTCCTTCTTTAAATTGGGGGTGTTGGGTATTGTGTCTCAGCGATGAAGACACTAAGATACATGAAGGATATTGTTTGCATTATTCTGCATTTGTTCTTTTCAGTCAATAGTATATGTTAGAATTTTTTCCCTGTCATTGCATGTGAGGTCACTTGTTCCTTTTATAGGTACTCTGTATTCCATTATGTCACTAAACCCCCAAAAAGTATTTTCAGCCATTTGAAAATACAAATTACACTACAGTTGAAATTATTGTATCAACACCCACATGCACCTAAGTATAATTATGTTTCACATTGCATACATAATTGTAAAACTCAGTTGAAACAATCAGTACTATTTGGAAATATTATTTTATTTAATATTATTTAAAATTACTAGTGCCATTTCCCACTTGGAGGTGATTATTTCATACCTTCCCTCCTGCTCAGCTGATGATGTCTCTGGCACTATTTGGTTTGTTGGTCCATAGCCTATCTCATGCCAAGCATAATTTTATAAACTTTGACTCTGTTTTTGTTTTTTTTTTTTCTCATCACTTACAAAAGCTTCACTTGGGACAAAAGCAATAGATTTGATCTCAGTTCTCATTTAGTATTCTATGCTAGGGTAGAATGAATTACTACCCAGATTTTGCATGTGGTCAAGGAGGTATGAAAGGAAAGCACCTTTCTGTAAGCCACATGTTAGAGCGGTTGGAAAGGCAGGCGGCAACAGAGAGCTCCTGCCCTGTCCTCCACAGTCCGGCTCCGCACCAGGACCAGCACTTCTCAGAGGAGCACCAGGGCCCAGCCACACCAGGAGTCCACCGCAAATGCAGTTAGAGTCAGGAGAGAGCCTAGGAATCTCCTTTTAAAATAATTCCGAAGGTTACCCTTAAACCAACATAGTTTTAAAACAAAGGAAAGGAAGCCACTTGTCCAGCTGTTGTGAAGTAACTGATCCTCTATGTCCACATGCTGTCTGCTATTGTGCTCCATTCTACTCTTACATACACTTGCTTAAATTCTATAAAAATCATTGGGAAAGGAAAAAACATGAGAAAAGGAAACAAAGGAAACAAAACAAAGTCTTTGTAAATAGGGAGGGGTGGAGGCGGTGAAGGGAGGGCAGAGGAATGGGGAAAAATAAGAACCAGGATACATCATTCACAGGTACAAATTCCCAATGATGAGCATCATCATACTGTATACATAAAACATACCAATAACTTAATGAATAAAAAATCATTGCGAGAGGCATTATTATCCATTTATAGCAGAGAAATTGAGGTCTGAGCCAGGACTGTTCCAAGGTCACACGGCTAGTGACAGAAGATGTGGTTGGAAAGAGTTCGAGTCGGATCTCTCAGCCTGGATCCTAAGAACCCCGGCAGGGCACATGGACTAAGTGTTAGTGTGAACCGTGATTGGCTATGAATGTTACTGTAAGATGGGGTTACATTAATCTCACAGTGCACTGCAAACTAGAAAAGAGATAAACTGATTCATACAAGTGTATCTGACAAAATTTTAAAGGTACATTTTACTAAAGCATTTTATTTAAAGATGCTTATGAATTGTTATTTAATATATTCCTTACCGGTCTTTCTATAAGTTAATTTCTATGTAGTTTTTTAGGGTTTTTTTGAGACAGGGACTCCCTATGTAGTTCAGGCTGGCCATGAACTCAGGGTGATCTTCCTGATTCAGATCTCTGAGTGCTAGAATCATAGCCGTGTGCCACCATGCCTGGCTGGTGGTTTATATAGTATTGCAGTTAATCATATACACTAACATTTTGTGTCTCCTGGATTAAAGAAAGATAATGGTAATGTCACAACAATGCTGTCAGATGGAATCACATTTCCTGGAAGAGCTACCTGAGTAGTTCTTATGAGATGTTTGTCTTGTGCTGTTTGATTGTGAAGTTTATTAAATATTTTCATACTTTGGATATGCTATATATATATACAATTTATAGATTTTTTTCTGTAAATATATTAGAAAATATTCTAAAAATGTATTCCACTCAGGTTTGGTATTGGTATATATTGGTCTATTCTTTTTTTTTATATTAAATTCTTTTATTGGTACATTGTAGGTATACAACACAATTACATTTCTCATTGGGAATTGTACCTTTACATAATGCATCTTGGTTCTTATTTTTTCCCCATTCCTAGCCCTCCCTTCATCCCCTCCACCCTTCCCTATTTACAAAGACTTTATTTCCATTTTTTCCATTTCTCATCATTTTTCCTTTCCCTTCTTTCCTTTCCCCTGCCCCTCCCACTACCCCTACCCCTTTGGAATTGGTCTATTCTTTCTGTACAACACTTATGCTCTTTCAGTATTTTTTTTTCTTTCTTGGAACTAGGGATTGAATCCAGGCCTCTGCACTGAGATAACTCCCCAGTCGTTAAAAAAATATTTTGTTTTCCAATTTTGAGACAGTGTCTTGCTAAATTGCCCAGTCTGGGCTGGAATTTGGAATCCTCTTGCCTCAGTCTCCCAGAGTGCTAGGATTACAGGCATAAATCACCACACCCAGCTTCCTACTGACATTTCTTTGTTTGCCAAATGATCTAAGTAGAGAAGAGAATGGGGGGCATAGCTTAGTGGTGTGGAATAGTACTCCTCATACTTCAGCCTTTCCACATTTGAACTGTATTTATGTGGTATTTTCTATAAAAATTCTGTTTTAACATGGTGGCACACACCTGTAATCCATTATTCAGAAGGCTGAAGCAGGAGGATCACAAGTTTGAGGCCAGCTTGGATAACTGTCTCAAAATAAAAAAAAAAAATGGACTGGGAATATAGCTCAGTGGTAGAGCATCACTGAATTCAATCTCCAGCCCTGAAAGAATAAAATCTTTGAAGTCAAATGATAAATACTGATTTTTTTTTCTGGATACGCTTTAAAAAAGTGATTGGAGGAAAATTTATTTAGATATTTTGGCACATGTAAACAAAATATATGCTCCTAACAATAAAATATATCATAGTACTATAGGCAAAAATTTATGTTTTGTTGGAAAACTGTATTGTCTCTAGCGTATTCTTTGGGGTTGTTTTTTAGGTGTAGGTATATTTTTCTTCTCTTTGTTCTTTGCAGATGGCTAAGTAGTAATTTTGTCCTGTCTATTTAGTTGACCTCCCCATTCCCCCGTCCAAGGGGAAAAAGCAAATTTATTTTGTATCCATTTGGAATTCATTGTTCTCCTTTTACATGTATAATGTTTGACTTTTCTTTTGAACTCATCATAGCACGTTCCTTCATCCAGTCTGAGTAGACAGAATCTTTGCTGTATGTCCATTTTTGTATCTGTAGAGAGTCACTTTTTCCCTTTTGCTGAATTCTGTCTTCTTACAGCTTGGATGGAGGGACTCGCCCAGCCCTGGAGGCTCCTGCGCCAAAGCACCTGCCTGTCAGAGCCGAGGGGAGTCCGCGGGGGACCCCATACTCCATGGCTGTGGTCTGCTTGCTCCTCATGGGGAGTTTGGCTTCATAGTCAGATTTGGTGATCTCTGTAAACAGAAGTTTATAGAAATCCTGTCTCTTGAGCCAGAGATGACAAAATGTCCGGTTTGCCAGTCTTTTCTGTTTAGTTGTGTATTTAAACTCAAATAGATAATTTGCACTGTCTTCCCGAGACAGAAGACAGCATTTTGATGCAGACTGGAGTTTTATGACTGGTATTCTGACCATGACTGAAAGTTTGGAATTGAACCCGTCAACTTTTGGTATCTGTCTGCATGATGAGAAAGGCCTTGCTGTGGGCTTTCTACCTCTGCACTGTATTAATAAAGCGTATTAGAAGGGCTCTGTGAGGCGCTCTCTTCAGCTTGGCCTGTGGATAAGGTCTCACATAAACAAAATATTCTTAAAATCCCAGAAAATAATGAAATTGAACTTCTAATATTTTAATATGTTACATTTAAAAAGAATTCTTACAGGGACTAACTAGAAAATATTTTGAGAGTACAAGTTTGTAAAATTTAAGGTAAATTTTTTGCAAGACTAGTATTTTTGGTTTAATAAAAACCAACTATATCTTCTATGGTTTATCAATATTAATACTGTAATTATGGCTTTTTATTCAACTTAGATGTCTTCTTTCTTATACAAGTTTACTGAGTAAATAAGTTGGCATTACTTTTTTCTTATTTATTTTGTCTTTGGGGATTAAACACAAGGACGCTGGATACTTCTCGGGGCCTTTTTATTTTTTATTTTGAGACAGTGTTTCCCTAAGTTGCCCAGGCTGGCTTTAAACTTGTGATCCTCCTGTCTCACAAGTAGCAGGGATTATTGGCATAAAACCACTATGCCCAGCTAGCTAACTTCTAAATGTTAAAGGTTATGAAACATGTAAGTTTATATTTAACCACATTGATTAAAATATTCTGACTAAATTTTATTTCAGCAGTTCAGTAATTATATTTTATAATACGTCATCTCAGAGATAATCTTGGGCTGATGAGACTCTACTAGAAGCAAGCGTTTTAAAGAAATGAAACTTCCTGCTTCTCTTCGCCAAGGAAAGGACTAGCTTTGACCTAAAGCAGTGGGTTTTTGGTCTCCTTGGCTCTTTCCAGCTTATTGTCTTAAATTATTTAAGAAAATAAACGTTTCTCCCATAGGAAAGATTTAAGATTCTTTATAATCATATTATAGTCTGTTTATCTTTTAAATGTTTTACTCTTTTAAAAAGGCTTTATTTTTAAATTTCAAGTTCACAGCAAATTCGAGGAGGAAGTAAGGAGACTCCTGTACACTGGAGCGCCCGCCCGCTGTCCCGTCAGACTGGGCGCTGCGCCCTGCCGGCTGCGACCGACCGTTAGGCCAGGACCCAGGGCTTCCGGCCGCCCTTCGCTGCCCAGTGTGGCCTCGACAGCAGGCCAGGCCTCGCTTCGTTGTTTTGATTTGCTTTCCCTGGCCTGCGCTCAAGCGTCTTCTCGCGCTTGTGCGCAAGCTGAAAGTCTCCGGTGAGTTGTCCTTTTCACCATTTTAAGGTCAAGTTGCTTGTTTTCCTAGTGTTGAATTTCAAGGGTTCTTTGTACACTTTGGGTACCAATTCTTTATCAAATGTCTTTTGAAAATACTTTCTACCAGCCTGGCTTATCCTCTTACTCCCGACATTTGCTGTCACTTTAAAAACCAGTGGACAAGTGTTATTTCTCAGGCACTGACCATCAGATTCGTATCTTAAATGCTAACATCTCCTGGCATTTAAAAGGTTTTTTGACATTCCCAAAATTGAATCCTAAATATAAAATGTAACAAAATAAAACTTCAGCATAGTTTCTTTTGCACCATTTGTTCTTTCACCTTATAAAGAGAGGTGCTCGAAATAACTGGGCTTGTCTGGTATGCAGCGGTGGAGCTGCGGGAAGCGGAGGAGACGCGAAATCTGCATGAGTAAAACGGGACCGGTACCGACAGAGAGATCCCTACAGGGCTTCCCGGGAGTCCCCAGAGGTTCGTCCACGCCCTCTACCCATGCAGAGCCCAGGGCCTGGCACATCCTAGGCGAGCACTCGCCCCTGCACTTCAGCCCAGCCCTGGGACACATTTATAGCTGTTGGAATCCAGGTGCTAGTTTGCTTGGTGTTGGGCATATGGACTACCTATCATAATTTCAATTGTATAAATAATTTTAACCTATTTGCATCTTTAAAGCTAGCATCTTCTGTGTCAGTAGTTTTCAACTGGAGATTCACATCACTTTCCTATAGATTTTTATTAATACACAGATATTTAGAATCTACTTCATATTTACCGAATCTCTTTATTTGATATTCTTGCATATTCTTGGTATATTCTTCCTATATCCGTGATATAGTCATGGTATATTATGTCTCGGGACTCTTCTTATATGTCAAGGTTTTTTTTTCTCTGTAAAAATTATGCTCATCCATTTTTACAAGTTAAATGTAAAGTTCATTGTCTTTTATCAAGCCATTATGTTTACAATTTTGTTGTCTAAATCTTTTTGGATCTACTTTATCTTGTTTTTCATGCTACAGAAGCAAATTTTGTTCATTGCCTTATTCTTATAATGAGCTATCATCTGATCTTTGGGTTTTGAAAGCTATCAGCAGTTTAAGTCTTTTGCCATCTGTAAATTTTTTGCTTGTTTTCCTCTGCCTTGTTTTCCTCAACGAGCGCTCTCATCATTAGTTTCAGGCTGGGGGGTGCTTGTCTTGGCAGGGACTGCCCAGGGGTCCTGTGATAGCCAATCCTTCGGACCGTGTTAACAACTTTGGTCATGTCAAGGCCTGTGTCCCGATTTCCAGAGTGCTGGTCAAGGAGCTATTGGCTTTGGGAGACTGCTAACCCAAGACCAGTGGAACAGGAGTTAATTACACACACAAAGTGAACGCATGGGGGAGGATTATAGTTTTTGTCTGCAATGTGTTGACATTTTAACATTCTGTTTTCCAAATAGATAAAGAAGCCTCACTCTTTCCTAAGTTATTTATGAAAATTTAGTAGACTCTACTTTTGCAAATTGAAATTAAACTTTTATAAGTGATGTTCTCCCTGGTTGATCCCTCTAAAATTTGGAATATTGTTTTCATGGCAGTATAGGGCAGGAAAGGAAGAAACTTTCTCCTCTACCCATCTTGAGTTTGTTGGGTGGAGTCCTCTAACTTGAACCATAAAGATAGATTAAGAAGAGAAAAAGCATGCATTGTGCAGATGCAGGAGAGGACCGAGAGATGAGTAACTCAAAGGGAATAGTTAGAACTTTCGGCTCCTGGAGCATCTTAGTAAAGAACAACACATCTGTAGAGAAGTGTCGAGGCAAAGGAAACTTTGAGCTCTGAGGAGCAAATCCCAGGAAAGCTAATATTTGGGGAAACTGCTTGGTAGGATGCATTTGTAGAGACTTTTTCTCATGTCATCCCCGGTGGTAAGGTTGTTATCCACTTCCTGTGGAAGACACCTGCTCGAGGTGAGTTTATGCTCTGCCCCAGGTAGAGAGGGGAAGGAGGGAGCCCATCTGTGGCTGCTTTTCTTCAGTTGCCTTCAGCTCAAAATAATCACATGCCAGAGCAGCATATTTTGGGTCATTTTTTAATTTGAAACTTCAAGAAATTTCGTATGTTAAAGGCTGAGTTGGTAGCTATGCAGAGAGTTTTGGATTAAAAATTGTGGGGTAAGCTATCTTTAGAGGGTGAAATAAATGTAAGATAAATAAGTAGAAAAGAATGTATTGTCCTCTATCTCATTGAACTAGTCTATTTCTGAAAGTAGACCAGTCCAGATAAACAGTAGGATCTCATTTCAGGAAACATTTAATACGAATGTGTCTTTCTTTTTCATTGGACATGATTGGGAACAATATAATGTGACCAAAGCTTTGCCTAGGGGGCCATGTCTGAGAATAATGCTCATTTAATCATAAATAAGCAGATGCTTGGAGGAATGAAGTTGATTTTATGGTGTCAGTGCCCAGAAAATCCTCTTGAGAAAACTGGCTTGGTACCTGGCTTATGGGATTCCTAGCCTTACAGATATGGGCGGAAGGTCATTTTTTGGCAGGTCCAAGAATCTTAAGATAGTGGGAACCTTGAGAATAAAGAAATTCATGCAAATTAATAGATAGTGAGAGAAAATTTTGCTAATAATTTCTTTCTTGCATAGTTTCCTAGCCTCATGACTTTAATCTGAGGTTCCTTGTGAAAACTTTCAGCACAACAGATTTAAGAAAGCTCCTGTAGAAACATTAAGTCTTATCCACCTATGTAAATAATCAGACCAAATATAATGAGATCACACTTATTTTGTGATTAAAGATATTTCCCTAGATTATTTTCATCAAAAAGGGGAAGATTATAGAAAAGATGTGTTTCAGGGGAAAACTATGTATCCTTAAGATGCACCCTTCTGAGTTTTCAGATTTTAGCTCTGTTCGTTGTCTTTGAGCTATTTTGACATCCTTTCTAATTGTTAATAACTGATAGGTATGTACATTCCGTCCTGGCTTGTATTGATTTAATTTGCCCACTAAAAACAATTTTGCATAATTTAAATTCATCTCAACATTATTTATTCCTTATGAATTTGTGACATTTGATTCCTTTGAACTGGTTATAATATCTGCCTGATTATGTAACGTAAGAGTAAAGGCTACTGTGGCTTTCTGCATGACAGCCTGCCCTGTGTCCTCCAGGGTGTACTTTTATCTTTCTTTTTCCTCTTTTCCTCAGCCCAAGCTCACTCTACAGAGCCAGTTTCGCCCTCTCTTCAATTTTACTTTTTCAAATAAACTTTGCCACCATTAAAAAAAGAGCAAAATAATATCTTTAACATGTGGTAATTTTTACATATCTATGTGAACTATTATTTTATCTTTTCCTGAAAAATATCTTTTAACAGTAGGAAACACATAATCAAACATAATGATAAATCAAGTAGAATTATGAATATGCTAACTGTCATAGAGTCATGATCACATGCTGGTTGTACAAGTCAAGGTGAAGTGCTCCAGTTGGGGGAAGCCTTCTTCCTCCTGTTACCTAGACTGTTAATACAGCTGCTGGATATAGAGCTTTGAATCATGAGTTGGAAATTTAATAATGAGGCAGATAAGAAGAGCCTGACTTCGAACATGTAACATGAGCCCTGAGCTGCTTTCTGGAAGTTACGTGACAAAAAAAGAAAAAAACACCCCAAAACAAAACACAGAAACAAATAAAACCCTATGTCCTATTTAAGCCCTGTAATATGACGTTTTCTGTCTGTCATAGTTGAAATTAACCCTAAACAGTAATTACTTCCATTATAAAATTCTAATGATAAGTACGAGTGATTCCAAGAGTTCAGGAAGCTATGTTTGGTGTCATTTTAAAAGCCTCAATCACCAAAGAAAATGTATTTTAAAAGTCTATTTTGTGGTTAGCAATCTAACATAATAATTGTTCAAATTTGGAATTAAAACATTAATTGTTTCAACTTAAAATACTGAAGATAAAAAAGACATGATAAAATTGAGTTTTACAGGACTAATAATACAGTGAAAAAACAAAAGAACTCTTTCTTTCCCCAAAGTTCCAGCCAGGTTTCTGACCTTATTGCTTCAAGTCAAATGTCCCATAGCTGGATAAAGTACTCTAGCAGATTTAGGATTGGAATGCAAAATTTATGCGGTTATACTGGGGCTAATGAGAGGAAATATGAACTCAGAGAAAGTTCAAGTGCCAACTGAAGCAGTCATGACTTAAGTTTATCATTATAATAGGTACTTAGAAGAAATAGATGCAGGTGAACATCCTGCTCTCTGTATTCTAAAAGTTGACCCACTCTACGTAGTTCCATTAGGGTAGAGTTTATTCCCATGTTTGCAGTGTTTCCCCTTTCTCATCTCACAGAGACAAGAGCTGTGTTTGTTTTAATCTACTTCTGTTGCAGTGAGGAAGTGAAAGAAGGTTGGATTTGGGAACCCATTGAGGACACAAAGAATCCCCCCAAAAAAGAAAAGAAAGAGAAAGAGTGTTTCATAACTAAGAACAAAAGAACAAGTTTCAAGGAACTTTCCTCTTTGAATGAATACACCCAAGCAAGAAATTGAGAACTGAGCATAGTGAACTAAATATAGCACTGAATTTCTGATTTAGAACAGATAACACCTATATTTTACTGAATGGTCCGGTTTTCAAAATATAAATAAATCTTTAACTTCATGAATTTAGTAAGTTGGATTTCCTGCCTTTTTAAAATTTAGCCTGAGTTCCCCTAGGAAGGCAAAGGCAGTCTCTGAAGTTATTAGAACCACTGCAAACAACTGCACCAGGGCTCTACTCCTGGATCTTCCCTAGAGGACACATTTAGTGAAAACCCCACTTATAACTTTCCTCCTATGTGAAGCCGGAATACCAAACTGACCCTGTTGGAATTCCATCCTTTAACTCAGTGATTTCTCACCTGAGATTTGCACCATTTAATAGCCTTGTAAGTACTTTTGCAAGGCATTCTTACA